AAGAAGAAAGCCCAGAGATAACTATGTATCCCAAAAATTGTGCAAATAGATTATTTTCAAAAGAGGATAGAAAACAATATGATATACAGATGAATTAAAATTTACATAGAAGACCATTTACCTATTTTTAAGTACTAATATTCACTGTCCAGATGTTTATAACTTTGGGTAATAAAGAATCTCTGATTCATTGATTAAGCAGTTCTTTCTTTTTCTTTTGAAAAGCTTTCTACTGTAGTACACCGGAATCCCCACCTCATGGATACATTATCAGTCAGACAGGTGGGCAGCTTAACAGTGTGGTCCGCTGGGCCTGCGATCGAGGATTCCGGCTTGTTGGGAAAAGCAGTGCCGTGTGCAGGAAGTCTTCCTATGGCTATCATGCATGGGATGCACCAGTCCCTGCTTGTCAAGGTGAAGTATACTATCCAAAAATGGATAAAATATTAATATGAGATTAACTCCGTTTAATTTTTTCATTTGGACCACTAAGATTTACCCAAATAGAAAGCATATAGCAACTTTGAACCCTCACTTGAAAAAATGAAAAACACTCTCAGTTAATAAAAAATGGGTCTTATCTATCATCTACTTTTTGGACAGAGTTTATATAGAACAAAACAAAATTTTAAATAGGTTAATCAAAATTTAAAATCAAACAATAGCACTTAAAATTAGCTGAGGAATAGATATTCCGGGCCTCTGAAATGGCTTCTTTTACCTTTTAGACTGTGGTTTCTAATTCATGAAAAGATAGCTTTCATAGGCATAAATAAATAAATTCGAAATGAAAGAATTATTGTTTCCTTGTTCTACTGATGCAGGAAACATTAATCACTTACTAGAATTCTGGGAAGCATTATTATCTTAGTAGGTTATTAACATTGAAGGTGTTGACTTCATGCAGAATAGATATATTTTAAAAACCTATCAGAACATCTACTTTCTTTTAACCGATGAAAAACAGGAGCATTACAATTTCTTAGTATTAACCGATTTCTC